AGTCTGCAGGGTCACTCTGAGTCGGGATCGACTCCAGAGCAGTCAGTCTGAGTTCTCGAATCATTTTTCCTCACAAGGCCTTCATATACAGGACCTTGGAAAATGAGCTACTTGAAGAATAAGAAAAGTAACGCTGCTGCTTTCCAAGAAGCTCGGGGAAAGAAGCAATATCATAAGAAACCACATATCATACTTTGCAGAAAAATTTACACACAAGAGGCAAAAGTACATGTCTCTAGTCCTTGAATATCCATATATATGTGTTTTTATGCCTAGGGAACAACACATCCTGGATCATTATTTATGTGGTACCGTTCCTCTAATATGAAGGCATTACCTTTCATGCATCTAGAGAACCAGTGAGTAAATATTTTATTCCTGATACAAAAGAATGTCCAGAATGCGTGATCATTACTTCTTCCAAAGAGCCAAATATGTGTATGTGGAGGGTTCTCTGTAGTTTTCGTGAGAGAAGGAAGGGAAACTATATCTATCAGGCCATGGATTCAGTAGCGTTCTTCCAAACACTACTCCCATTGGATTGAAAAATTTAGTCAACATATTTGAGTACTCCGTTGTGGTTTCCACATCAGGCAATTAATTATCAAATGGAAGGTCATAGAAAAGAGTCATACTCATTGTTATAGTCACATGCTATGTAATATTTATTCACTTTAAGAAACAGTCAAGGAGCAAGAAGGAGCATTGGTGGCACCATGGCATAAGCACAGGCCCACTCGCCCCAAGGTTATTGGTTCAGTTGTCCCCTGGGGAGAAATATAAGGCTCACAAGGATCTTTTCCTTTATAGGAGTCTGTAGTGGATAATCTATGTATATATAAATGATTAATAATTTAAACAATGATATTAAAATAACATCCTTCAAGACAAAGTTTCCTAGCCAGTCTAGATGAAAGAGAGGGGGTGGGTGGGTAGGATTTTGGGGGAAGTAAGGGACAATAGAATAAAAATGGTGGAATCCAGATTTTTAAAAACTGGCTCCTGACGATGACGCTTTAGATGTTGCCAACAAAATTGGAATCATCTAAAGTGAGCCCAGCTGGCTAATGCGAAATAGAAACTTTTTCAAGATTAAAAAAAAAAGAAAAAAAATATATAAAAGTAAACATCTATATGTGCCCTTGTGGGGTAGTGGGTTAAGCATTAGGCTGCTATCTGCAAGGTCAGAGGTTCAAATATACCAGCTGGTCTTAGGAAGAAAGATAAAGTTCTGTACTCCCCTGGAGATTTACAATCTCGGACACCCTTGAGGTCACTATGAATCAGAATAGATTCAATGGCAGTTTTTTGTTATTGTTTTTTTTAATAAGTCTTTAAGTCTACACCTCAATATCCCAGTATTTTTTGCTGTTTTTATAGCAGAAAAACCCATTTATTTCTTTTTCTTTTCTTCTTGTGAGATTTGAAGAAAATACCAACCGAATCTCTAAGGGGATCCTACTCTAAATGCAAACTAATTTTAGTTGACTGCTAAATAAAGAGATGCCATGAACTCTTTGAGGCAGATGAAAATTGTTCCCTTTTGCTGTCAGGCAAAATGTAAACATTCCAATTCATTGACCTTATTGGCACTAAAACAATCTTGAAGATGTTTACATCTGAATGAGAGATTTCTTTAATTTGCAGACTACCCTTCAAGACACGTGCTATGACAGGAGAAACATCACCAAGGAGATACATCCATCTGGGCCAAAATAATAAAAAAACGTTGAAAGAAAAAAAGCCTTCCGCAAAGTTTGGAAAAAACCGCCAAAAGGTTCCCTTAAGCCCCAAGAAGGTAAAAAAACGTAGCATTAAATGGAAATTAAGTAATCCTTAAAGGCATGCATTTTTTTCTTTTCATCGCATATAAGTTCTATTAAAATACATGATAAGAACATTAGCAGCTAACTCATCGGGGGTGTCAGACTTGCCCGACCATGCTTTAGGATCCCAGGCTCAGAGCGGCTGTGCATTTCTATTTCACTGCCAATGGATGGGGAGGGAGGTAGCTGAGTAACATGCAGGCCAATCAAATTCATTTAGAAACTGATTAGGTTTATATATGTACAACTTGCTTGGGTAACCTGGGTGAAAGTGGTGGCGCGAGTCTCTGGCTGGTTAAAACCACCAGAGCTGCATCCTTGGTGGCTCCAGCTTGATTTTACTCCTGTGAGAAGTAAGAACGGCAAGCAGTGAAGGTCACCATATTGCACTCCTAAATTTCACTCTGAGAAATAATCATTCAAGCATGGCTTCAACATGATTAAACATTCTTAAAAAAAAAAATCAATTACCGGAAATCACAAAAGTTTAAGAGGAATTACTTTGAGCGTAGCTAAAATAACATAGGAGTTAAAGTGTCTACAAACCATGGTGTGAATTAAATGACATGCGCTAACGAACGCTCAGCAAGTGAAACAACCTCCAGGTGCACTCTGATAGCCTTGCTTATCAAGACGTGCACAGTTAGTGATGCCAACAGTGGGGAAAGCTCTATCTTTCTCTTTTACTTTATAATCAGTTAGACAAGAAGAGCAATAGTCCTCATGCCATTTCTAAATAGCTACTTAACACACCTCTCTCCCAATCCATCAGTTCAGAAAATAACCAGATAATTACGTCTACACTGAATACTACAGCAATATTTCAACTGAGTGTTTGAAATCCCTAGACAATTATTTTTCTTTTCCTTTTCATAGAACTACCATGTACAATACTGAAAAATTGAAACTTAAGTGCAACTCCTCCCTAGACTCTTACCCTCATCACTCATCTGTTCTCGAGCTTTTCTCTTGAAAGTGTGATATAAACTCAAAGCCTGGGATTTCTTCAAATACTCAACTTCATTTGTTCTCAGATTATTTCAAGGGTGGGAAGATATTGGAAGAACTTAACAGCTCAAATACTATATTAGTTGTGCATAATTCCAACTAGGAGATAGGTTCTGTGTCACTCATTTTAGAGCAGGAAATAAAAAATGTTAAAACTGTAATGGTAACAAGAGCAACTGGAACGATAGCTCAGATTTCACTTTCTGAACATCCCTCCGATGTTAAATATAACGGTTTGAGGTGAAGCACAATACATGTTCTTTTGACAAAAGATTGAGAGGATACTTGAACTTTACATTTTCTAAAAAAATAAAGACTGGCTGTCAAATGAAAAAATCACACCTCTAAAGTACTTCAAAAAATTAATATGATTTAAATCCCAATACTATTATTTTTTCACAATCCATCCTTAGTGTATATCAGACTCTAAAACTAAACACATATAAAAATTAATTTTCTTTACTTCAGGGAAAAGTATCTGTTCTTAGGGATCATGTGAAGATAATATAAGAAAAATATGTGTTTCAATTTCTAAGGACCCACTAGTATTTCCTAAAGGTTGACTTTGAGCATATACAACATTAGAAATTAGGCTCCACTATTTCAGCATAGCTCCACCAACTATGCATATACAAAATTGTATTAACTGGACTTTAGGATGTTATTCCAATGTTTAAATAATATTGTATTTAGTAAAAAGCCACATTTCAAGACATTTCAGCAGTTCTTTGCCCAATGACACAGTTATTCTTATTTCAGCTGTTTTGTAAGTCAATGGCCCAGTTACTTATTCAGTTATCCTAATTTATATTACTATCTATATTTAAACTTTCTGTGAATGTCAAGTTTATAATCTTCTCATGCTTAGTCAAACACTAAGTTTGTGATACTACTTATCTAATAAACCAGAGAGAATGGACAATAGCATAAGCTTTAGTGATCTTATGGGTTAAATCTGATAATACAGACTGAAATAGTAAGATTAGATACTAGAAAATATATTTTTCTTCGTAATTTCATTAACTGGTCTCTGTGCATCATGGTATCTTGGTAGCATCACTTCCTCATGCAAATTAAATTGTATTCTTTCATGTCCCAAATGCCCTAAATGACCTTTCTTAGAATAAAAGTAGCAATAAAAGGTCCTACCTTCCTTGTAATCAATTCAAATGATGGAGATGGTGCATCTTTGTTTATGATTGTTTTAGCTTGCTTTATTTATGCAAGGGAATTTACTTAAGCACAGGGAATCTTGTCTTCATTTTTGTATACTAAGCAACTAAACATTAAGGCTTTACATTCCTTTTTCTCGTTACCTTAACTCACTAGTTATTAATCTATAAACAAACACAAACCCTATTCACTCTTGTATTCATATGCCTCTTATAAATGAAATAATATATATATATATATATTTAGCTGTTATTTTTTATTTTTACTAAAGGATCATTTTATTGGGGTTCTTACAATAAAATAATATTTTATTTTTAAGCTACCAGGACTCTTAGTGTTAAATTGGTCAATTCACAATTTCACATAAAATCATAGTTTTAGGTTGTTTGTTTAAATTACATGCTGTGAGCTCAGGAGGATTAAAAACTAATTTCAGAGTGATTTCTCATCATTACCTTACTTTCCTTTAAAAAATATTTACTTCAGAACACATGAATAAATATATCTATGTTTAGATCTTGGCATGACATATATCATATATGTTTCATGGCAAGATCTCAAGCAGATATTACATGAACAAATATGCTTGTTCAAGATAAATAAAAAAAACACAATTTGTTAAGTATTTCATAAGAGAGCTAGAACTACCTTTCCATCAAAGTCACTATTGTGAAAGAAGTAAAAGAATAAAATCAATAACCAGAGATATTTTTAGAAGTCTAAAATTGTTTTAGAATACTAATTTTCATGTTAACCTGCACATTAATTTAATCACAATTCAAGAGTGTGTATCTGAAAATATAAGCTTATCATTATTTTACCAATATTTTCATCTATAATTAATTTATCTATCACCAATTTACCAGAGAAAAATGTATTAACAGATATTTCTTATTTTCTTAGCAAAAGAAACTATTTTATAACACTCTGGTAGGTTTTAAAGCAACAGAAATATATAAGACCAATATACCTTGTTTGTCAAAAACCACCTACCTCTTTGCTTTCTTCCATATCTGACTCACTACTGAATTCTTCAGTATTTAAATTTTCAAAGTCAGATTCTCCAACTGCAATTGGTACAGTCACCGTGAGACTGGGGTTGTTTATGAATGACATGTAGTCACTTTCATCCACAACATACTTTTCTACACTACTGCCTATGCCACTGGTGGTTCCATTTCCATCTTTGAGATAATTGAGGTCTTTGCTTATTTCCACTGTGGTATGATTAGAGACACAGCTGTCTTTTTTGTTATTTAGATCTTCAAGAGGTTTAATTTCGTCTAAAGCCTTCTGCTTTCTAACAAAGGCTTTCTGAATGATTTCACGGAGTTTTCTTTTCACATAATCTATTCCTCTCTGCATTCTCCCCACAGCAATCTGGAGATTGTTCATTTCATTATCATCATCCGTGGCAGCAAGATTGTCAGAACTAAATGAACTCAAGAGTAAGGCCAGGAAGAGGTTCAGGACCTAAAAAGCAAGAAGAATACATGGGGTCAAATCTTTTCTTTTCCTCCTTTTAAAAAAAATCATTTTATTAGGGGCTCATACAACTCTTATCACAATCCATACATGCATCAATTGTGTAAAGCACATTTGTACATTCAGTACCCTCATCATTCTCAAAACATTTGCTCTCCACTTAAGCCCCTGGTATCAGGTCCTCATTTTTTCCCCTCACTACCCACTCCCCCATCCCTCATGAACCTTTGATAATTTATAAATTATTATTTTGTCATATCTTGCCCTGTCCGACGTCTCCCTTCACCCACTTTTCTGTTGTCCATCCCCCAGGGAGGAGGAGGTCACATGTAGATCCTTGTAATCGGTTCCCCCTTTCCAGCCCACCCTCCCTCTGCCTTCCCAGTATCGCCACTCTCACCACTGGTCCTGAAGGCCTCATCTGCCCTGGATTCCCTGTGTTTCCAGTTCCTATCTGTACCAGTGTACATGCTCTGGTCTAGCCAAACTTGCAAGGTAGAATTGGAATCATGATAGTGAGGGTGGGGTGGGAGGTGAGGAAGCATTTAGGAACTGGAGGAAAGTTGTATTTTTCATTGCTGCTACATCACACCCTGACTGGCTCATCTCCTCCCCGAGACCCTTCTGTAAGGGGATGTCCAGTGGCCTACAGATGGGGTTTGGGTCTCCACTCCACACTTCCCCCCTCATTCATTATGGTAAGATTTTTTGTTCTGATGATGCCTGATACCTGATCCCTTCGACACCTTGTGATCGCACTGGCTGGTGTGCTTCTTCCATGTGGGCTTTGTTGCTTCAGAGCTAGATGGCTGCTTGTTTACCTTCAAGTCTTTAAGACCCCAGATGCTATATCTTTTGATAGCCAGGCACCATCAGCTTTCTTCACCACATTTGCTTATTCACCCACTTTGTCTTTAGTGGTTGTGTCGGGAATGTGACAATCACAGAATGCCAATTTAATAGAAGAAAGTATTCTTGCATTGAGTGGAGGCCCAATGTCCTTCTGCTACCTTACTGCCATAAATACATGCACATAGATCTATTTCCCCATTCTCATATATAAATATATTTGCATGTGTACATATCTTTATCTAGACCTCTATAAATGCCCTTTGCATCCAAAAAGTAATAAAATCTGCTCTTTGCTATAAGCGGTGAAACAAGAATGCAGCTTGGTCCCTTTCAGTGTTTAAACCTACAGAACAAAGGAAGCATAGAGGTAGTTGAAGGCTCAAAAGGACTAAGCTACAAACAAGAAGAATCCAAGGATAGCCTTTCAAGTTCTAAATTCCTTGAATTTAATCCCCATCTATGGGACTTTTTTTAAAAAAGAAAGGAAAAAAAGAACTGTGGTCAATGAGCTTATTAGGGATAGTGCTCATTTATTTAACGATTTATAAGTTAGACTAAACAGTGATGGTTTAAAAAAAGTTGTGCCACAACTCTGGGTATTCAGATCGAGACCTCATTAGTCTTTAACTTCTCAATAAATATGTTTTATTAAGGTACACCTTCGAATTTATTATTTGGATGAAAGAAAATGAAAATAGAATAAATAGACTATTGGCTGTTTCCATCGCAAAATCTAATTTTGTTGCCAGGCTTACACTCCAGATTTAATTTAATGTGGGCTGATGCATGCTCCTTGTCTATTAGGAACATTTTCATGATACACATCAATTAATCTTTCCAGAGGAGCGGTCACCTCTCTTCCTTCTTCAGGGCAATGGCAGTGGGCACTTTATTTCTTTATTTTCATTTTTGTAATACATGTATACGAAAGGGTGGTAGAATAAATTAGGAAGAAAATGGAATGGAAGGACAATAGACTTCTCCATTGATTTATGAAGGCCCCTGATATGTATGCAATCTGCTACTATTCTGATCCTGTCCTCGTGATTTTTCATCCCCAGCCCTACCACCTCAGTGTCCCCTTCTCTCTATCTTTTTCTCAGATGCGCACCTGTGCTGTTAAGTTAGGAGCTCTTTCATCTCAGAAACATGCCTCACAGTCAAATTCTAGAGGAGTATCGCTACTGGCTACCAGTGATGAAAACAGCTTTTTACTGTGTTTTCAGTCTGTAATTGTCATTTAGCCAGATCCTCCTATGTTTTATTTAAGTATATAACAAGGTTTATATAATATTTCTCAAAAAAATTCAGTAATGCAAGAATTATTATCAACTCAACAATAATTCACGATTCAATCAATAATGCATACACATTATGTTTCTGTTTTCATAGTACAGTTCTGAGGTCTTTTATTTTAATTACTTGTGAGCAGAGTTAATGAAAAAGCAAAGTTTTATGTTTATTCTTTATTGCTATTTCCTTTCTAGTAATATACTTATAAACAATATCAGAGTTTTCTGTTAGCTTTATAAATTTTCCTATGTTGTACTATCAATCAATAACTTAATTGAATGCTATGCTAGCACCAAGGCAAAATAAATAGTCCATAAATAAATGCAGTGAAGCAGACTGCCACATCTTTCTCTCACAGAGCACTGAGCCTGCTCACCAGAGCTCCTACAGACCCTTCTCAGATGAGCCACAATCCTCCAAGGGGGCCAAACCCAGTTCTGGTAAGGAGGTGGAGCATCAGGAGAACTCGTTCGTTGCTGGTGAGTATGCAAAATGGCCTAACCAATTTGGAACAGCCAGGTCGTTTCTTACAAAGCTCATCTAAACCTCACACACAATCTTAAACTTGATTCAAATGAGTCTAAAACTTATTTCCACCCAGAAACCTGAACATGTTTGTTAATAGCAACTTCATTCATGATTGCAAAAATTATAACTGACCAATATGTCCTTTACAAAGTGAATGTATAAACAAATAGAGGTAAGTTCATACAACGGATATTCTTCAGTGGTCAAAGAATTAAATCAGCTACCAAGCCAGTAAAAGACATTTCTAAGTGAGAGAACCTGGTCTGAAAACGTACATATTATATGATTCTAACTTTATTATATTCTGGAAAGGGCAACACTGTAGATAATAAGTAAACTCGTGCTTGCCTGGGGTTCAGGGATGGAGGCGGAGCACAGAGCATTTGAAGGGGAGTGACACTATTTTTCATTATCCATTTGTCCAACTCAAAAGATTATAAAATTGCAGAAGTGAGTCCTAATGATCTTTAATAGTAATGATCAATATTGGTTCATAAATTATAGCAAATGTATCATATGAATGCAAGATGTTGATTAGAAGGGATATTGAAACTACCATATCAACAACAACAACAAACACAAATCTATCTTGGAAGAAGTACAAGAATGTGCCTTAGGAGTAAGGATGGTGAGACCTTGTCTCATGTACTTAGACATGTTACCAGGAGAGACCAATCCCTGAAAAAGGACATCATGCTTGATAAAGCAGAAGGTTAGCAAAAAATAAAAAGAGGAAAACTCTCAATGACATGGATTGATGTAGAAGCTGAAACAGTGAGCCCAAACATAACAACAGTTGTGAGGACCAAACAGTGTTTCATTCCACCTTGAGACTGAGTAGACACCATGGCAGCTATTAACAAGAACAACAGAGAGAACAGAGATAACCCATCTGCTCATGTGGGTCAAAAAGGGAGTTATACCTGCTTGCCTCTCGGGCACTTTTCTCACTTCAGGTGAGGAAGACAAGGAAGAAAAGTAGGAGGAAGTCCATTAAGTACAAGTGGTCTTACTTTTTTAACCAATTTTCCCTAATAGCAGGAAAGATGACATTTTGTGGCCTTAGCAATCTTATCAAACATCTATTGGCCATAGATGTATGAGTTTATTTTTGGACTCTCAATTCTATTCTTTAGGTCTGTGTGCCTATTATGCCAGTACCAGACAGTTTTGATTACAGTAGCTTTGCACTATGCTTTGAAATTGAGACGCGTGAGTACTGGTTAAAGGGTATTGAGTGTTAAGGGTAATGAAAAAATTCTATAAAGAGAGTGATGATGGTAGCACAATATGATGAAAGTAATTCATTTGTTGACTTGTACATGTAAAGTCTAACAATGTTTTGTTAAATATATTTTATTATAATATTTAAAAAATTATATGTTAGAGTTATTTAAGCTGGTAGTAGGGAGAATGAAATCTAAAAAGTGATCAAAAGAAAATGACAAGATTTTCTTTTATTCTTTGCATTATTCTTCTATTGGGGAATTGACGACTAACTATAGGAGAGGCAATTAAGTCTGTAAACTTGATTCTTGGAAATATTGGCTATAGCAGATTTTGTTCTATTTCGCGGATTGTGCCCTAACCAATCAACTTAGTATAAGTAGTTTATATTTGAAATATAAGATGCTGATACTTCTCTCAGGGACTGTTGTTCTTTGCCCCCACAATACTGCACAGACTATTAATAACACATAATAATAATAATAATACATAATACTATTAATAAGACATAATAACTCATATAACTACCATAGTACATATGACAGGGAGACCCATAATGGCCCAATACAGGGGATGATCTACCAGATTATGTTTTATACTTCAATTAAAAATATGTCAAGTCTGAATTCTTTGTTAAAACTTTCTTGGGTCATACCTGTCATGCTAAAAGAGCAATGTGTTCATATTTTAAATTTGACATGTGGTACTTTGTTTTTACAATCTTTCATAATAATGTAAATAATAGTAACTTTTTATTTTTATTCTTTTGAGTATCATACTTATCGTCCTATTCTTTCTTCATATGCCTCTACATCTCAGATAGTAGCTTCCAGACATGGTTTATTTTATAGAATATGATGGTAACGGTTTCTTCACTCAAGCTCTTTGTTCACAACGTACTTTATGGGTAATGAATATGCCATATGCCTCTAATGGTGAATTATGGGCTGACATGGTTTCTAATTTATTTGAAATATTTTCAAGTTGCTCGTTTTTAGTGCTTTAAATAAAATGAATGCTTTTTCTCAGAAGCATGTCCATGCTTTTTTCAAGTAAAAGATAAAAAGCAGAAAGGTTCTCTCCATAAAAGAGTAAGAGACTTAGTAGAACAACTTTGGTTGAAAAAATATTCTGAGGGTTTATGTAGATTACAATAGCATGGTAGGTACATAATCTGGTGTCAATTTGAGGATTAAGAGTGTAGGGGTGGAGTCTAGGCTACCAATCAAGATATAGCCAGGGAGGCCTCTTTGTGGGCATGGCATTCCTCTAAGGATTCTGGAAATTCTGGTTTTTCCTCCTGGGAGGCGGGAGACACTTCTCTCTCTCTTCTCACTCCCTTGGAGACACTCTACTGACAAGACACATGGCACTACGTCGATAGACTCCATGCCCTGAGAGCAGGAGAAGCCACATGGACCTACCCTGATGCCGCGCTGGGTGCTGGAGGGGCCACATGGAGACCCCTGCCACCACCGAGATGCTTACAACGCCACTGGATCCACAAGACTTCCCACCCACTGGCCTGTGATCTTCCTGTCATCACATGTGTTTCGTGAGTCTGAAGAGGACTTTATAGACTGGTATCGAACATAGGGGCTAATACCAGATTCAGGGACTTGATCTGAACAGGGTTGGGATGCTTTCTTAATGTACAATTATGCTTTATATAAAACGCTCTCTTAAACACATATGCGTGTTTATGAATTTATATCTCTAGTCTACCCAGACTCTCACACAGTTAAAATTATAACTGGCTCCTGTAGTCATGAATAATTGAAAACTGGAAATGTCTTTGATACAAAATAACTGCATAAAATATTCCTCAGTTGATCGTGCTTTTATCTTCTTTTCTTAATATTTACACAATCTTTTAGTGAAAATGAATAAAATATCATTTACATACCACTAGGTTCCCGATGACCATGACCATCATGAAGACAGTAAGGCACATGGTTTGGCCAGCGACCTCCATACAGTCCCACATGGTCTCTATCCACTCCCCACACAGCACTCGGAACACGATCAGGAAGGAGTGGAAGAAGTCAGACATGTGCCAGCGGGGGAGCTCACAGTCGCTGGAGATCTTGCAGACACAATCTTTGTAGCTCTTCCCAAAGAGCTGCATGCCGACCACGGCAAAAATGAAGACGATGATGGCCAAGACCAAGGTGAGGTTACCCAGAGCCCCCACTGAGTTACCAATGATCTTTATCAGCATGTTCAGTGTGGGCCAGGATTTTGCCAGCTTGAAAACTCGGAGCTGGAAATCAAAGCAAGAAGGCGGTTACTGACCTACCTTCTAAATAACCTGCAACTTCATATACAGGGAAATTCTGCAGATGACTGTCCCCATTACAGAAGGATAAATTATTAGTGTGTCCCACTATCATCGAACTAAGCAGCAGTCTTCCAGTATCTGTAAGGATTTTTGGTTTGTGTTGTTTTCGCTCTGAACTAGTCCATATCATAAATAAAATTATCATATTACGTAGTCTTATTGTGGCTTTTTAGTAATAAAATTCACCAACTTTTATAGATTCCTACTGTAAGCATATATTTTATACCTTTTATTTTTCAGTAAGGAACTAAGCTATCTACAGTTAAATAGTGGTTCAATAACAGAGGTCATCTCAGAGAGTAGAGACTCTCATTATTTAAAAGCACAAAGTGAATATATTTTCAGTTCACTTAATATAGCATGCTGAAATTCACAAATGCAAATAATAGTAACAGATTATATGCATTATCACAGCTAAAACAATCCTTTCCATCTTTAGATTGTTATAATCTCAGACTTTAGCTAGCCATTTAAGCTGAAAACGGCTTTAGAGCAGATTAATAGTATTTAAAGCAGACTTATTTGGACTTAAGTAATAAACTGAATCTTGTCACCTTTATGTCTTTGGTGACTTAATTAACTCATTAAAGAGTGTAAATGGCTATCTGCCACTGCTTGACATGTTGGTTGTATTAGCTCATAGAGGCCTCTCAAGTACCATTCATGGCTAACCAGCAGCAGCATCTTATTTCAGATGCTTCAGTAAATGTCAGGCTTAGTTGTGCATTATCATTGGTATCCAAATGACTCAAAGTAGTGAATATAAGCAATTAAGTGTTTAATTAACTCCCAAGAAATCATTCATGCAAAAGAGCTTGAGACATTAGTAAACCACTAAAGATACTCCCTATTTCCCCAAATTGTATCACATTATCAGGCAAGTTTGCTAAATATTTATGAACATTAGTTGCTGATGCTATTTACCATACAGCCATTTCTAATTTTTGTTTAATTTTCATACTCTTCTAAAATTACACCTATTTCTATTCTTGAAAATAAGGGAAGGAAACCATAGCTCTAAGGGTAGTGACACAAATTTGACTTTGAAAGTGGTAAGGGAAATATTCTAAAAAAGATTTCACATCAAAGTCTTGGGAATAATTACTATTTAAGATAAACCATCCATAATAATCTGTCTTTCATAACTGTATTTATAAGCATCTAGTATTTCCTAAGTAGTCATAATTAGAGTAAACTCAAGTAGCAGAACTGAAAGAAAGATGTTTTTCTTGAAAACTAATAGGATATACAGTAACTTTCTTAGTGGACTTTGTGATTTGGAAAAGATATTTGCTTTATTTACTCCATCCTTTGTACATGATTCTTGGTCCCCCAAAATATATTTTTTTCTTTGGAATCAAGGGGAGCAATGAACAGCTCTAATTCTTGAGCTCCCACCAAAAGGCTCCCTTACTAAATCCCTACCAACCTCATTCACTGCTAAGTAAATTTCTACTGAGTGAGCTATACGGTCATTTATTGGTGATATGGGTTACCTGCGTTTTCTTCCTTTTTTTCTTCACTCTGATATGGCTCTCATTCTTCAATAAATAATGAGATAACATTCAACTCTTTGTTTGAATAAATTTAATCTGCCTATTATGGCTATGAAGATGGAGAAGTTACCTTTGGTTGTGAGACAATTTGGTTTATTTTATAAACGCATCTAAAGAATATTAAAATTAGTCAGCATCTGATAATTACTATTAACTGAAGAGGAAGACTACTTAAATTAATTACAAAGTAAACATTATGGATTCTCTTAGTTCATTTACCAGCCGGAATGATCGGAGAACTGACAATCCTTCCACATTCGCCAAACCCAATTCCATTAAACTGAGGCTCACAATAAAACCATCGAAAATATTCCAGCCTTCTTGGAAATAATAGTAAGGGTCCATGGCAATGACTTTGAGAAACATTTCTGCCGTGAAGATCCCAGTGAAGACCTACATGAGACAGAGAGTTTATGTATTATAAACAATGTAATGTCCCTCCCAGAAAAGGCACACAGTTCAATCCTGAGTTCTTAAAATTGATTTAGACTCAATGAATTGTTACACATAAATGCGCAGAATACAAGCTCATGTTTCCTTGTTCCTAATATTTACAGCTTTATATTTTGTGATGAAAAGCACACAAATTAAGATAATAAAATCAACATTTTAATTTTCTTTTGTTTTTTTTTAAACCATTTTATTGGAGGCTTGTACAACCCTTATCACAATCCATCCAACCATCCATTGTGTCAAGCACATTTGTACATTTGTTGCCCTTCTCATTCTCAAAACATTTGCTTTCTACTTGAGCCCTTGGTATCAGCTCCTCCTTTTTCCCCCTTCCCTCCCCGCTCCCCACTCCCTCATGAACCCTTGATAATTTATAAATTATTATTTTGTCACATCTTACATTGTCTGACATCTCCCTTCACCCACTTTTCTGTTGTCTGTCCCCCAGAGATGTAGTTATCTGTAGATCCTTATAATCGGTTCTCCCTTTCCATCCCACCTTCCCTCTACCCTTCTGGTATCGCCCCTCTCAACACTGGTCCTGAAGGGTTCATCTGTCCTGGATTCCCTGTGTTTCCAGCTCCTATCTGTACCAGTGTACATCCTCTGGTCTAGCCAGATTTGTAAGGTAGAATTGGAATCCTGATAGTAGTGGGGGGTGGGGGGAGAGGAAGCATCTAGGAAGTAGAGGAAAGTTGTATGTTTCATTGTTGCTAAACTGTACCCTGACTGGCTTATGCACTTGACCAGTGATTATCTGCTTGGCTCCACTGGTGATCTTTTTGCATAACAAAAAGCCCACCAAGGTCTCAAAGATATTTGTCGATGCACGATTTTAAAAGTTTTATTGCTTCAACTTTTAGAGTTAGGTCTTCGATTGATGGTGGGTTTTGTGTACAGTGTGAGGTTGGGGTGAGGTTCATTTTCCACCATACGTTTAGCAAGTGTACAGAACTTTTGGTGACAACATTCCCTTTACCTTATTGAATTTGTTTAGTGACTTCATTAAAAATCAATTGAGATATTTTCAGTCTATTACTGAACTCTTCAATTTGTTTCTTTGATATGTCAATATTATGTTTTTCAATGAATATAGCTTTATAAGTCCAGAAATCATATAGGTAAATTCTTGTTTTATTAACAAGTTTTAACTATTTTAAGTACCTTGTATTTTCATGTATATTTAAAAATCACTTAATCATATTCTACAAAGAAAGTGATGGTCTGATATATTTTGTTAGAATTATCCCAATAGTGTTGAATCTTGCATTTTATAAAATTGTGCACTGATCTACTTACTTACATATTCTTTATGATTGTCAGCCTTCATAGTTTTAGGTTTTAGAGTTTTATAGATAGTTTTAGAGATATTGCACGTGTTCTTAAACTTATTCCTAATACGCCTGCATATTTTATTGTTACCATAGATAAAATCATTAAATGCATTGCTTAGTTCCATTAATAGTTTTGCAGATTTAGAATTTTCTTCATACATGATCTTGTTGATAAGCATAACGAGCTTTGTGGCCTGTCAGTATCTGTGTTTTATTTATTTATTTTTCTTTATTGTACGTGATAGGACTACCATTGAAATGTTGCATAAAAAAGGTCAGAGTAAATATTTGCTTATTCCTATTCTTCTTTGTCTTATTCTTATTCATAGGGCCCAGTATTTGACAGTTCACCATGAAGTGTAGCTGTAGACTTTCCTTAGATGTCCTTTATCAAAATGAGAACGTTTCTATTTCTAGTTTACTGAGAAATGTCACTATGCCCTGCTCTTCATATCGTGAACGTACACTAATGTACCCTGGACACGTTATCAAGAGGGACCAGTGCCTACAGAAGGCCAGCATGTGAGGCAGAGTGCTAGCAAAGGGGAGGAGCCTCGACGGAATGATTGGCACAGCAGGTGCAGCAATGGGAGTAGACCTGACTATGCTTGTGAGCGCTCTGTTCTCCTGCATACGGGGTCCCAATGAGTCCGAACTGACTTGACTCCTGATAGCAACAGCATACTGAGAGTTTTCATCTTATTTGCATTTTGTCAAATGCTTTTTCTGCATCTACTGAGTAAATCTTATATAGATTACATGGTAACGTCTCTTTACAAGGTAAACTCATTTATTTTTAAAATTTTACGCCACCATTGCATTTCTAAAATAAAACTCATTTGTTTAAAACATATTTCTTTTCTATTGATGCATTTTTGTTTGCTACTTGTGACAGTTAAGCTTTTGTGTCAACTTGACAGAGCCAATATTCTCAGTGGTTTGGCAGTTCAAACCCAAATCTAACACAATGTAATCACCTCCATAATTAGATGCGTGATGAATAGAAAATCATTCATGTAAATTTCCTTGGAGATGTGGCCTGCTTCAAATAATAGTGATGGCTGTGGGAAAACCTGCTTGATGTTTTGCTGGGGAAGGACCCTGCATCTGGCTCGTTGACCTTGGGGTTCTTCTGACTTGAGCCAATGGCACAGTGGTCGATAACCCTGACAATCAGCAGCAGCCTACCATCTGCCCTGTCCTCCTTGGAGTCCTTGCTTCTGCAGACACAGGCCTATTGTCTTCCCGTTTCTCTTGGTTTTACCAGTCTTGCAGCTATGTGAATGGGGAGAAGCCCCAACCTAACTTTTTTTTTTTAATTTCAAGATGTAGTTTATTTGTACATTATAATCCAATAGTGGAATGCATTACTTTAATGAATCACTTTCTTGATTTGCTTTCAGTTAATTATTTTTTAAAATCATTTTATTAGGGGCTCATACAGCTCTTATCACAATCCATACACACATCAATTGTGTAAAGCGCATTTGTA